CAATAGCAGAGGAACCAGACATTTTTTCTTAATGAAAGCCAAAGAATGTCGCAGTACCTTTTTGATCATATGCTTATGGGACAACCTGTATATTCAACTGAATTTTAATTTTTTCCAATGCTTATTATTTACATATAAGCAAGAATAAAAAAAAATAAAAACCTCCATACATTCAGGCGCAGGAGCAGATGCGGTATATAGGCCCAGGTTGTGGTATTTTTCATTGTTGAGGTAAGTACTAAGAATACGCATGTTTCTTTTTAAGAGCCAATTCTTGTACCATAAATTTCTTTTGCGCTTTTTCTTGCGAATGCAGCTCAATGCAACTGCACAACCAACAGCCGCTAAAATATCATCCATCATTGACGCATAGATGCGAAACCACGAGAAGCAGAACTGACTACTGTGTTCGCCTGGAGAAAATTCCCAAATCGATTTCCTGAAGAATATCCTTCAGGAAATCCTCTCTGTGTGTGTACAACGCTTCAGCTGAGGAAATCCCCAAGGAAATCCCGGAGGCTTTTTCCTTGAGGATTTCCTGTACGTGTATGGCTACCTTTATAGTGTCATCTGCTGAGGCGGGGGGCACTGCTACTTGCGGTCGGTTGAGAACACAAAACATATGTTGAGAGCTTTGTAAAGAACGTCGGCGCAAATTTTCGAAACAGCCGAAAATGTTATTTTCCGCGCCGCTCTTTCTTATTTTCTATTTTTTCGTGGATGGTAGACTTTTCTAATCTAGGGAGGGTAGTTTGGGTCCCTTCGGACAAAGATTTCTTCTAACTTGGCCGGGATTGGCCTCTCGTAGAGTGCAATTTTGTTGCAGGAATTTGGTTGCCGCGATAGAATCCATGAAATTTTTCTTATCAGACTATGCAATTCTGTCTCGGCAACTGAATTGCGTGAATTAGAGAACATGCTCTATTCCGTGCAACAAAATTGCATCGATTCTATGTAGTTAGTTTTATGAAGATTTGTTTATTACCAACCTAGTTGTTGTTGGCTGTTGATCGTGGTTGTTGTTAGTAACGCCGTTGAAGCCACTAATAAAGCTATACGGCAATTTACTTTAAAATTTTCTTCCATTGCAATGTTTTGCTAGAATAAAAAATAATTGTTTACAAGATACTTACGTACAAGAAATTTTACATGTTAAACAATGCACAGTTGGTGACATTACTGCAAACTAAACAATTTGTAGCAATTCTGTCCCATTGTGTGATAATAAATAAGCATGCAATTTTATCCCCGCAATTTTGTCGCTGCAACTAAATTGCATTGTCTGATACAGGCTTAATGATATGAAAATTTGCCGGCAGTTTTTTAATTGCACTATAATTTCTACACTCACACTAGTGATGGGAGATTTCGAGTGAATAATCGAGTGGTACTCGATTATTGAGATCACTCGAGATATCTCGAGATGTTTACTCCCACCACTCGAGTGATTATTACTCTACGGTTGCACCCCAAAATGTTAGTGCATACTGCAAATAGTCACTGATTGCGTAACCTTTTTTTAGAATAAAACGAAAAAGTGGTTAGGTTTTGAAGTGCGTGAGCTTTTTTTTTTTAGCTACGCTTATAAGTAATATATGACTAATACAAACATATTTGTGCGCCGCTGGGATGAAAACGACCAATATCTCGTATCTCGAGTGATCACTCGATTATTAGAAGTACTCGATTACCGATAACTCGATTATCAAAATTGGTCGATTATGCCCATCACTA